AAACTCATAACGTACTACTGTTGGGCAGCAGCCCGCTACGGATGAGAAATTCTAAAAAGAATTAAGTTTCCTTTGAAACGAATGTGGGAACAAAAGTATAATAGTTTACGAGAAAATTCGTCCCAAAGCTGTAATCTCTGCATCGCGCTAGAAAAGTTTTCGCGTTCGGTTTATAGAGGACCCAATCTTAAGCTAGAATGTTGTGAGGTCCGTTGCTACTCCGTAAATCGGTTTACTAGGAGCCGACCTAAGTCCTAGACCCTGTCTCTGCATAATATCAAGTGCAGTACTTACTATATGCCGAAAAGAGACATCTAACATTGAGATAAACAAAATAGATCTCCTCTTTACTACTAGAGAGGTTGGTGACTCCCACGGAAGAAGCAAATTTGACCTTTTTGTCTATCTGGCACTAAAATAAGTGACTGTCTACGAATAATGCCACTAATGCTCGAGCCACACTAACGTCAACGTCAATGCCGATTATCGCGATGTATCGACGATAATAATTGCGATAGTTTTAACGCGATAAAGTGGGTGGCTACACTTCAAATTTCAACGTGAATGCCCATCATGCCAAACGGCAATGTGAATGCCGTTGTGAAATTATCGCGTTGACTCGTGGCTACACCTACGGTGAACGTGCATTATCGCGATAAGCAATGGCATTTCTCGTTGGTGTGAATCTTGGAAAGAACTAAGTGTACAAGATATTAAACGAAGGCTTAGACTATTTTTATTGCAAAAGGTCTACTATAGTGTCACCGAGTTCATGAATGACACAATTATTTGAGTAAAATGTATTAACTATTATATGACTTTATATTGAATTTGTATGTATTTGAGGTATTTTAAAATTGTATTGAGACTAAACATTATGACTAATTGTGTTTTAAATTCTGTTTTGTATATTATTATTGTATGCCTCAACGGCGGGACATAGCTGTACTTTTTTTATTATTTAAGACCTGTATTTCTATGCATACTGTAGTCCACAATAAAGACGATTTGATTTGATTCGATTTGATTTGTGGCCCGGGCATAAGAAATGACTGAAACACCGAAATTTCAGTTGTTTATTTATGTGTGCGTGTGTAATGAATGAGTTACCAGATTTAACTCGTCGAGTACCGTCATCATAGACACAATTTTAATTGTCTGTGTACTTTAGAACAATAGGTTGCGGTCACCGGTGCCCTCGCGGTGTTTGACAGTTTAAGAAAATGACAGATGTCCTTCGTGTCAATGTGCGAGTCCTGCATGTAAGTCTATAGTAGCCAGGTGCCACAGTCATTGTTTCAAGGGAATGTCCGCCGTTTGTTCAACGTCGTTGCTGTCTACTTACGGAGCAGCCATATTTGTGTTTAGTGTTACTTTGAAAAATAATGTTTTGGAATAGAGATAATTTGCTTTTATTACTATTTTCACTTTCAAATCTTACTACATAACATAACATAACATATCCCCGAAGAGGATAAAAGGCATGGTGCAGAGGTGCACATTATGTCACTGTACAATGTACCACCCACTTTTCACTAATACTTTATGTTATGAGTCCCGTGTAATAGGGGGTGAGCCTATTGCCATATACCGGGCACAATTCCAGACTCCGTGTTACTACTGAGAATTTTGTGAAAACCCAGTAATACTTTGCCCGGCTCGGGAGTCGAACCCGAGACCCCTTGCCCGGCAATCGCACTTGCGACCACTCGGTCAACGAGGCAGTCAAATCTTACAATACTATTATGAATGCAAAAGTTTGTCTTTTTTGTTTTTTACCCAAACACGTCAAAATGGTTGAAGGCATCGAGGTGGAATTTTCAAGTGAGTGTCATTGAGTGAAAAATAGTATCACTAGAGAAAGGTGTGGATTGAAAGACGATGTAGTGACAAGGATTGAAAAGGGAATGTTTCGCTGGTTTGGACATGTAGAAAGGATGGATGAAAGTAGAGTAACGAAAGAAGTATACTGAGCGGATATGAATGGGGCCGTCGGTAGACAGCGCCTTAGATGAACATATACTGACCAGATTGGCGATATATTAAAGAAGGGCCAAATTAAAAGTACCCTTAAACGATGAGCATGCATGAAAAGACTGATCGTAGCAATTAGCGTTCTATATTCTCTGCCTACCCCCATGTACAACAGGCGTATCCTTACTATTAAAAATGGAAAAGTGAGTTTGTTTGTTTGTTCCGCTTTCACGCCGTAACTTCTAAACCGATTGCTTTGAATTTTTGCAGACGTAAAGTTAGAAGTCCGGAATTGATAATAGGGTACTTTTATCCCGGAAAATTTTGATATTCCCAAGGAAAAACAAAAGAATTGGTATAGATGGCGCTGTGTGTATTTTTATATGTCACACAGGCTACTTTTATCCTTTGGTGACGCGAGTGAAGCCGCGGGTAAAAGCTAGTATTATATAATTTTTAATGTTTTTGTTTGATGTTCAAACCGCTACAATTATATTATTTTGAAAATCCCCTAATAACTGTCATTGTAGTTGTGTTTCTAACTAGGCTATTGAAGTTGCTACGCCGTAGTAAATCTACTACGGCGTAGCAATTTGTACAGCGTAGTCTTCGTAGTCACCATCAAAACCCATTTCAGTCCACTGCTGCACTATGAGTCTCCTCTACATAAGAGGGTTTGTCATAATCTCAGGCAGGCGTTCGAGATCGCAATATAAAAGGTTCAGGTTTATCAGAGAGCACTCCCAATGTAACGCCCTCTCGCGGGTGGTTAGAGAAACATACTTTAAGTAAAGCAACACTTGCCAAGGGTAGTATGTAGATGGGTGACCATTTTCATTCCACTCTCTAAACATTTTAGAATAATACAAGGCTTTGGTGAACTTTTCAATATCTAAAATATTTCTAACATGTTTTAAATATTGCAAATATTCTTAAGAACAGTTTATTACGTCAGCGTACTCGCTCTAACACACGTGTATTCAATTAGAGAGAGAGGGACAGATGTACTGCAGTTGTGTCCCAAATGCAACCCGAGCCAAATTACTGTTGAGGGAAATCTCCTCGCCTTTTCCCACTCACGCGAAAATACATATGGACATTTTGTGGTACGTTTCTTTTATTTTAAACCCAAATATTGAATAAACTACTATGCTATTTAACTAAAAAATAATACTGAAAAATTTTACATAAAATAAGCTTTCTATTTAAACAAAATTGTTAAAATAAAAGTGTAATAGTTTACGAGAAAATTCGACCCGAATTTGTAATCCCTGCGTCGCACTAGTAAAGTTTTCGCGCCTGGTTTATAGAGGACCCAATGTTAAGAGGGAATGTCGGGAGGTCCGTTGCTACTCCGTAAATCGGTTTACTAGGAGCCGACCTAAGTCCTAGCCAACAGAAATAATAAACAGAAGTGTAGACAGTGCAAGGTGAAATCAAGAGGTCCTTGGACCTCAACCCCACGGTAGTAGCAGCTGTGACTTCCTTTTGTCACTCTCGACGTATTTTTGGTCAAGTTTTTTTCAACAGCCTGTAAATGGTCTCTGCTGAGCAAAAGCCTATTCTCACATGGATAAGGTTTGAGCATTAATCACCACGCTTGCTCAATGCGGGTTGGCGATTTCAAACTTATAATTAGAAATCACAAGTCCAGATTTCCTCACGATGTTTTCCTTCACCGTTTGTCAGTGGTGTCTAAATAATCTTAGAAAGTACATGTAACTCGGAACAAGTCACAGTGGTACTTGCTGTTGGTAGGTTTCAAACCGGCACCCTCGTGCATTAGAAGCGGGCGTTTTAGCCCCGGGCTACCATGACATCTTTTTGACTAGTAATATTAATTTTTTATTATTGAGTGTCCCTTTACCATCAGATATTATTTAACTTGCTTGTTCTGTGTGTGAGAAATGAAATCTTGCAATTGAATGAAGCAGATATCTTCAACTGATTGAGCTAAAATGTTGTATACATGAAGTCAAAGAAACATAACATAACATCATGCCTTTTATCCCCGAAGGGGTAAGCAAAGGTCCACGTTACGGCACTTAATGCCACTGTACAATGTAACACCCACTTTTCAATGTGCATCTCTGCCTTCCCCTTAGGGGATAAAAGGCGTGATGTTATGTTATGAGGAACGACCAAGAAACTCCATCGTTACTCTTTAAAAAAATGTTTTTTTTTTACCATCTCACAATTACATTATATGATCCGTGATCACGTCTCGTTTGATTGACCATATAAATACAAAGAAGCTTATAAATTATTGTTTTTTAATGATGGTCAAATTCTCTGTTTATTTTCGCTTTTAGTTTCTTTGCGACACAAAACACAAAGGGAACCACAAGCGCAACTCGTAGCAGTTGTCGTAGCAATTTTGCTACGCCGTAGTAATTCACAAACTTAATTTTATTAATCACTAATATTTTGTTATGTATCGTGGGTGCATTCACAAACATACAAGTTCACATATACATGATCCAGACCCGAATTTGGGGATCACACAATGAGTTGTTGTCATGGGTATTCATTTATGGCATAGGAATTTTTGATGGTAAGCAAACGGTGTTACCCATAGACATCCGCAAGACCAAAGAGGTCTTTTAGCGATTGGGGATTTGGAAAGTAAGGTCTCGCTCCGCATCACGACCCGCACTAGGGCCGGACGCGAGAGGTCACCATCGCCGATCACGTCCCTGAGGGCACGGTGGTGCTCAACCCACGCAGGGCATTCCCCCATTGTGTGTTTCACCGTTTCGTCAGGGCGGCCCTCGCAGTGATGACACCCGGCCGTTTCCTCTCGCTACATCAGATACAGATATCTCCCGAAACTTCCATGTCCGGTGAGGACCTGGGTCAGGCGGTAGATGAGGACGCCGTAGCGTCTCTCAAGCCACTCCTCAAGGAGGACTTACTGCTGCAAAGGCAGCGAGCCCAGAAATTGAGGTCTAGGGATTAGACACTACGGAATTGGGCCTCCAGTGATTTAAAAAGACATTGAAACATTTGTATGTTCTTCTATCCAGGTGAAAGAGTTCCTCCAACTGATCCTCGAGCGCCAGAGTCCATACTATACCACAAAGAATGTAATGATCATCATGGGAAAGAAGCTGGCGTACCATGACGCAGAGATCTGGTTCGCAAACATCGATAAATTGATCGGGTATGTGTAAATTCATATATTGCTAGATTTATCCGCGAAAACTTGAATTAACTACATTTGTCAGAAACGTGCAATTGCATACTTGCCAACTAGTCAAATTCAATACTTTTTGAGGCAAACTGTCAAAAACGACAGTTTTCTATGAATTCTGTAAGATATCGTGTATTGTGATCGCGGAGAACCTAACGGGTAACCGGGTTCCGGCTCGAAATGCAGGAGAAGGAACGGGGTGGTTTTTAGTCAGTAAGAGTCTGACACTCCCTCCCGCCACACCCAGGCGGGAGCAGTCATTAGATGATTGCCCCCCTTAAAAAAATCGTGTATTGTTAACGTCACGTTTTTTTAGCGTCAAACAGTATAGTTATTTTATAAAAATTTGCTGGAAAAATACTAAAATTAAGTAAGCAATAAATTTCATTAATGAAAGTGTGATTATCATTTAATATTTTATTGTATTGAACAGTCGAAATAATGCAGTTTTGATTAAGGAAAGTACCCAATTGCGGACCACTATACGTCAATTCCGAGCCTCCGGTTGAGGATATAAGGCCAACTTAATGCCGATTAGCTTGTCCTTCATAAAAAATAATCTGAAATGTCTCAGTAGCCTTTTTTGATATCGGAGGGAAACCTTCAAAAGGCGCCTAGCTTTTTTGGGGATAGAAAACTAGGGAGTGTGGGATTCTTACTTCACTAAAACCACCCCGGTGGCCACCATCATCACCTATGGGGGGCACCGAGTCCTCTATAATAGACCTGCTCCGGTCTCCGGACTCGGAAGATATGCATCAACCTTAAGCCTTGCTGTGCTAAGCACGTGACCACTGTGCCACTATCTTCCCTGAGATCACCAGAGAGTCCCCATTCTGGGCGCCCGTGACCCCAAACGTCTGCCTGTAGATAATACAGGCATGATATCGGCGTGTTAGGCGTCAAGGCGGTTACATCCGCGCCTTCTACGAGCAGAATCGGTCCTCTCACGATCCCGCTCAACAGCCTCTTTTTGAGAAATTACCGTCTTACAAAAAGATACCACTTCCCTCTAAATATCTCAGTAGCCAAACGATTATTTTGTTGCTCGATACAAAACAGCTGTTCATGTACCTGAGTTTTTATTGTAACTATCGTGAGGCATAATGAATCAACTAAAAATAATGGTTTACTACGGCAACACACTGAGAAAAGCTCTACTAGTTTCGAGTCACAGAGAGGCGATAGCGCACACTGCCCACGAGGAAGAGTCCAGCTATGACTAAAAACTAGTAAAGCGTATCTCAGTATGACCCTAGAACGTTGGAGTTCAGTGTTCCAGTGTTTGCATGGTTGTGTCTACTGTAGATCCTGGTGCAGAGGATTTGTTTGGTTTCTGAGGTTGTATCTTGTCTTAAAACTAAAATTTACAATCGTTCGACTAATAAGGCAATCACCTAAATATTATATTACCTGTATAATCCTTACTTCCTTATCCTTACTTAATATTATTATAAATCGGAAAGTGAGTTTGTTTGTTTGTTTATTTGTTCCGATTTCACGCCGTAACTACTAAACCGATTGCTTTGAATTTTTGAACACGTAAAGTTAGAAGTCTGGATTAAATAATAGGGTACTTTTTATATTGAAAAAATTGATATTCCCCAGGGAAAACAAAAGTATTGGTATAGATGGCGCTGTGTGTATTGGTATATGTCACATAGGCTACTTTTTATCATTTTGTGACGTGAGCGAAGCCGCGGGTAAAAGCTAGTTCTGTTATAAACTACGTTTAAAAACAAACTGACTTCAACCCTTCTTTTTTACGTTGATTTATTCATATACTACAACCTTTTTCTGAGTGTTACCAACACTTTACTGAAAACCACGTCAAAAACGTTTTAGCCAATCACGAGGTAACAGCGCACAAACACACATATGTACATACTCCTTTTGTAAAATTACACAACATAAGGAGTTTTTTTAAGGGGGAAAAATCATCGAATGACTGCTCCCGCCTGGGTGAGGCGGGAGGGAGTGTCAGACTCTTACTGACTAAAAACCACCCCGTTCCTTCTCCTGCACGTCGAACCGGAGCCCCGGTTACCCGTTAGGTTCTCCGCGACACAACATAAGGGGTAGGCAGAGATGCAAATTATGCCACTGTACAATGTAACACTCACTTTTCACTATTTATGTTATGAGTCCCATGTAATAGGGTGTGAGCTTATTGCCATATACCAGGCACAGTTCCAGACTCCGTGCTACTACTGAGATTTTTTTAAAAAAAACACAGTAATACTTTGCCCGACCCCGGGAATCGAACCCGAGACCACTTTCCCGGCAGTCTTATAAGGAGCCAAGCGTGTGTTGGCGTCATAAGGCGCAGAAATTCAAATTACATTTTAATTTTTTTAAAGTCGGTTAAAAATGCCATATTTTTTTTCAGCAATGTAAATGCTAAACAAGGCAATACGCAAGGGAAGAAGGTTTATCTATTCTACTCGACCCCAGCTTGCTACGTGAAGGCCGTACATGAAGCTACGTAAGTCACTGAAAATGTAATTTAAATATACTAATTTAAATAAGCCGGTAAACGAGCAGACGGATCACCTGATGGTAAGCAATCAGCGTCGCGCATGGACACCTGGAGCACCACAAGTGTGTTACCGTTAAGTGGAAACAGTCGTTTCTTTTCTTCTCCTCTTATAAAATCTTCTGATTCACTTCGTTGCGAGAACCAACACAGTTATTCATGTCCCTGGGACGCGCCGGACTTCAGTGTTCCGGTGTTTTCATGGTTGTATCTACTGTAGATCCTGGCTTACAGGAGTTGCAGCGGTTTTGAGAGGTTGTAACGGGCTTGTCCCTTAAAAAAAGTGAGTTATCGGCCTTGCGACGTGCAGTCGCACTTGCGACCACTCGGCCAAAGAGGCAGTCAAGTCAGTTGGTTAATAATCATGTCGAAGGCGGCAACAATCATCCGTCTTCTGATGTCGGAGGAGGCATGATTATGTTTCGGTTGCTCAGACATAATGTGGGCGAATATGAGTATCGTGTAAATAGGAAAAGCGTTTAGAATTCATCACTGAATTTGTTATAATCACAAGGTATAGTAACTGGCCACTAAGGGAAACGTAGGGCAGGTCCGTGACAACGTCTTCATTCGGTGGGGACTCGAACTGAAGTGACCTCCGCCGACTCTGACGCCACGACTCCGCCTAAGCGCACCGGACATCCGCTAAGTGGCGCGTTTGCGTTCTTAGCGTCCTTACTCATGACCGGTTCCGACAAGCATATATATATATATATTATGGGATAAGCCGGTAAACGAACAGACGGATCACCTGATGGTAAGCAATCGGCGTCGCCCATGGACACCTTGATGGGATGGGATTAGGATTTTGAGGATCGTTGGGGATTCAGGGATTGGGGAGATTAGGGATGGGGAGGGTAATTGGGCCTCCGGTAACCTCACTCACACGACGAAACACAACGCAAACGTTGCTTCACGTCGGTTTCCTGTGAGGCCGTGGTATCACTCCGGTCGAGCCGGCCCATTCGTGCCGAAGCATGGCTCTCCCATACTTAAAAATGTATACGATTTCAGGCCGAATCTGACAACGAAACAGGATGATTTCATTCCTTTGGGGATTGATAAGAATACGCATGCGACTGGGATGTTTACTTCACGACCTGTCATCAAGTACCACGCTAGAGAGATACACCTATATGTCCAGGTATGTCCACATCTTTATACTAAGATCCTCAAAAGACCGGTAACACACTTGTAACGCCTCTAGTGTTTCAGGTGTCCATGGGCGACGCCGATTGCTTACCATCAGGTGATCCGCCTACTCGTTTACCGGCTTATAAAAAAAATATTTGTTTGCATTTTCGTTCAGTTTGAAGCGCCCATGGACACCTGAAACACTAGAGGCGTTACAAGTGTGTTACCGGTCTTTTGAGGATTAGGAATTTGAGTATTGTTGGGGATTCAGGGATTGGGGAGATTGGGGAAGAGGAGGGTAATTGGGCCTCCGGTAACCTCACTCACAGGACGAAACACAACGCAAGCGTTGCTTCGCGTCCGTTTTATATATATTCGTGTTTGTCTTTGATTGTCCTGGTCAGGTTTGAGTCTCTTATAGGAATGTTACAATTGAAAGTTTGATTACTGTTAATATTAGATTCGTGGCGACACATGGTACATGTCAATGGATGACGTCATAAAAAATCCTACATCGCACATGCAAAGTTTACATGCAAATTAACACGGATAGAAAATCCCAACGAACAACTGTTGGGCAGAAAGCCCGCCAGGCACGATCACCTCGCCTGGTCAGAGGATCCATCTTTTCCGACATCAGGGAACTTTCCACTCTGTTCCCTCAAGATTTAATTTTATATTCCACATTTGTACACCAGAAATGGTCAAACATGTTGATTTTTTTTTAAGGGGGAAAATCATCGAATGACTGCTCCCGCCTGGGTGGGGCGAGAGGGAGTATCAGACTCTTACTGACTAAAAACCACCCCGTTCCTTCTCCTGCACGTCGAGCCGGAGCCCCGGTTACCCGTTAGGTTCTAAACATGTTGATACTATGCTCACTGCTCATCTGTACAACTTATAATGTACATTCTATGATGTATTATTATTTCACACGTGTTTTTGCAAATAAATAATCTTTGTGTTATTCATAAAACATCAGCCTTGAGCGGTTAATTATAACTATTATTACATACAAAAAAACATTTATTTATTTATATAAAAAAAAATTAACAATTTTTTTACCATGACATGTCTTCTGCTTTTGCAAGCGTTCTGCTCACATCCTGTATATGAACTACGTGCGTACCTTTTTTTTGAAAAGGAAAATCCATCATCTTATTCCTCCAGGGCGAGAGACAGTGTCAGACTCTTACTGACTAAACTCCACCACCACCATTCCTAGTGCAATAGCCCGGAGCCACGGTAGCCCATTAGGTTATCCGCAGCTCCGGGTCGGGCATTGACCCTAGGCCACCGATCTATGAGCAACTTTAACAACTCCTTGCTACGGTGTAGTCTGTATATTTTCCTACGACGTAGCGCGACTACGCCGTAGCAGAATTCGTAGCCAGTGATACTACGTCGTAGCGACAGTTGTAGCCAGCGTTAAAAGTCGTATAACAGAATTATTTCAATACATTTGTCCACAGATAGCAAAACAACTACAGATCTTTGCTCAACTTGGCAACAATGACAAGAAATTTGAAGAAATCATGTGGATATCAGGTAACAAACAAGGCACAGCTTTGGAACCATGATAAAAAATTGTTAGTTGTCTGTTCATCGTGTGATGACCACCGGCATTTACTGTTACCTACTCTTCTCGTGGGTGTCATATACCCGAGATTAAGAGACTACATATTAGACAGAGACGGTGCAGCAGAGGTCTCTGATAACTCTGAATCTTTTATCTCCAACCAGCCTGCCTGCGGAGATTATGGCAAACCCTCTTATGTACAGGAGACTCATAGTGCAGCAGTGGACATTTTGGAGACGGTTTGATGATGATGATAATATTTCAGGAGTACTACAGGACCATACAATAATCACCGGAGCGATGCGTCCGCACGTGAGTGAATATTACGCCAGTAAGGCCTACATAGCCAAGGAGATATGCATGCAGATGTTCAGACCTGCTTTTAAGTGAGATTTACATAGTTTTTAATTTTTTTTTTTTTTTGTAAAAAGACGTTGCCCCACATTAGGATTTTCTCCTGTGTCGTGGGTGCGTTTACAAACATACAAGTTCACATACACAATGACACCCAGACCCGAAACAACAATTTGTGGTTCACACAAAGTGTTGTTCCGTGCGGGAATTGGAACCCGCTACACGTTGTATGGCAGCCGGTTGCCCAGCCACCGCACCAACCGTGCAGTCAAAATTTTATTTAGCTTTTTTGGACAAAGTGGATAGATTAGGGTGCGTTTACAAACATACAAGTTCACATACACAATGACACCCAGACCCGAAACAACAATTTGTGGATCACACAAAGTGTTGTCTCGTGTGGAAATCGAACCCGCGACACGTTGCACGGCAGCCAGTTGCCCAGTCACCGCACCAACCGTGCAGTCAAATCCAATTATTTACACGTTCCCTTCTTAACAGCAAAGAATCTAAGGTTCGATTCTGAAGTTGAACAAATTATCTATACATTTGATTTTATTAGTTTTTAGGACTTCGTCCGTCCTTTCCACCATCGTCTGTGGACTCGAAACCATCGGGATTGTTTATGGGATAAGCCGGTAAACGAGCTGACAGATCACCTGATGGTAAGCAATCGGCGTTGCCAATGGACACCTGGAACACCAGAGGCGTTACAAGGGCGGTACTGGTCTTTTTGGGAATAGGATGTTGAGGATTGGGGAGATTTTGGGAGGGGAGTAATTCAGCCTCCGGTAATCTCACTCACACGATGAAATACAACGGAAGTGGTATCACTCCGGTCGATTAGACCCATTCGAGCCGAAACATGGCACAATATGTTCTCTTTTCACATAGGACTCGTGACCATAAGTCGAACTATAGATCATTTTCTCACTAATCGCTTGTAAACCACTTTACCAATCCCATTAGTTCTTGTTTAACTAATTTATATTTTACTAGACCCGCACGCCGACTTCGCATGGGTGCAATTAAAAACCTCTAAATTTATCAGTGTCAAAATGACTCTATCCATTAAAAAAACCGCATCAAAATCCGTTGCGTAGTTTTAAAGATCTAAGCATGCATAGGGACAGACGGACGGTGGATAGCGACTTTGTTTATACTTTATACTATTTAGTGATTTAATCTTTCAGTATTCTACGTAATTCTTCGAGCAAAATGATCTACTACGCTTGTCAATTCAATATATCTTCCTGTTGGACCCTTGAAGGAGACAGATTCTTCGTAAGTATATCAAATTAATTAGCTCATGACGATACCTAAATATGTACGTATCGCCTGGACAGTCCACGCTACCATCAGTTGACTGGACAATCTCTACACTACATGAGTCACTGTTTACATGTTACCATTAGTTCATAACGATACCTGAGTACGTATCGCCTGGACAGTACACGCTACCATCAGTTGACTGGACAATCTCTACACTACATGAGTCACTGTTAATGTTTTGTTTTTCAGATCGTGGTGTATAATCCCTTGGCTTGGTCAGTCACTTTGCCTGTCAGGCTACCTGTTGCTAGAGGAATCTACAAAGTTTATGATCCAAAAGGTAATATTCTAATATACTTACTCTTTCTCTAGAATTGGCATGAGGAGAGACATCAGTCTCAATTAGACTAGCGAAGACAGGAGATATGACGCTACGTTCTGCGTGAGCGATCTGGAAGCGAACGCGCTTATGAAGCTGTTACACACGAATTCAATGCTATGCCATGCGACGTAGCGGCTATGTTCTATGTACAAGCTAATCTTTTCGCTTCGTTTTCGTATCCGTTATTATATCCAAACAAAACGTCACAGCACCGCCTCCAATTTTTTTTTCATCAGCCGGTAAACGAGCAGACGGATCACCTGATGGTATGCAATTGGCGTCGCCCATGGATACCTGGAACACCGGAGGTGTTACAACTTACCGGCCTTTTGGGGAATTGGAGTTTGAGGATCGTTGGGGATTCAGGAATTGGGGAGATTGGGGAAGGGGAGGGTAATTGGGCCTCCGGTAACCTCACTCACACGACGAAATACAACGCAAGCTGCTTAACGTCGGTTTTCTGTGAGGCCGTGGTACCACTCCGGTCGAGCCGGCTCATTCGTGCCGAAGCATGGCTCTCCCACACTTAAACTTACTTACTTGGCGTTAGAGGTTTTAAAACTCCGGGCCACCACGACTCACGATGTCACGTACAATCTTACTATTATGAGTCACAACTGAAACAAGAACAAACGTCTTGACACACTTTTTCTATTCAAAATCTTTGAATACATTTTTCTAACCTTTTGATCTCTATTCCAGGTGTACAACAGAACCATTCCCTAGTAACACTTCCAGAACTAGTAATGGCACTCCCAGACCGAGGAGACTTCCTAACAGAAGATGAACTAGTATTCATAGCAACTAAAATACCACCGCTAGGCTTCAAATCCTACTACATAGAACGAGTGCAACTAAGGACGAGAACAAAGCGATCGGTTTTAAAGCGAATATTTTATCAAGACCCCACAACTAAGAAAACATTTACGAGGGAGACGAATTTTCTGAAACGCGACGGAAAATATGTTCTCGACGATTTACCTGAGTATGAGTATTTTGAAGATGTTACTGAGAAGGGGCATGATAAAGTCCCTCTAGCTAACGCGCCGAGGGCCAAATATTTTGAGTTCTATAGTGAGTATGTCGGTACTGAACCGCCAGCTACTAACGAGCCGGAAGAAGATGACACTGCTGAATCGAAGAAGGTTTCAATGCAAAGTAGTTATGTTCCATTGCGTACTAATATGTAAGTAATAATAACGTTGTTTTTACATACTTAACTTCACACCGGCAGAGATTATGGAACGCCAATTGCTTTCGCTTTATCAACAGTCATCAATCTTATTTAATAACAGTGAAACTTGGTTAAGTGAGACATCAAGGGACCTGCAATGTCGTTTCACTTATAGAGGTATTCCACTTACCCAGTGTCTCAGATATACAGGTATAAATAAATATCTGTCTCATTTACAGAGGGTTCCATTAATAGAGGTGGACTTGGAATTACGAGTGGAATTTGTGGGTAGAATAAGAATGAGTAAACAAACAATGTTATCTCAGTTATAGAGGTTTATGCATATAAAATTTACTCGCTATCTCAGTTATAGAGGTAACTATGATGATAAATCGAAAGAACAAATCCCAGATATAGAGGTTTACCTCGTCCCACTAATAGAGGTAATTCAGTGCCAAAGTGTTGTGACCTCAGTGTCAGTTCCAGTTATGGAGGTTTCTCATTTATCCAGGTCCCACTTAACCAAGTTTCACTGTATTATGTTTTCAACTTGCTCACGTAATTGTTTGACGAGGAACTCGACTAGTTTCAAGCTCATATTCATGAATAGCATTCCGCGACCCGCGACGCGGCTACTGTCGCGCTGCTACTCTCAGGTTGTTGTCTAGTCGAGTTCCTCGTCAAATAAATACGTGAGTACGCCGAGAAATATAATAATTAATTAAGTATGTCTTACGGGAGTTATAATACAGTCAGTGCCGGCGTTAGGGGGGTAGGCGTGGTGGGGCGATGGCCCAGGGCGACTAATTCTGGGGTGCGCCAAGGTCTGAAGTTGGAGTCTCTTGCAAGTTGCTTCTCTCCTGGTGCAAAACCTCAGAACTGTACTTCACGCTCTGTGCATATGCATATTTTTATTGAGATATTTTTTAGATGGATTTTTTGAGGGTTTGTGGTCCGCGTCGTTAGCTCTGGGTACCGCTAAGGGAAATATGAAATTCTTAATATAAACTTAGCATCAGCAAAAAACTAACACTTGATATTACTTCCCTCAAGTGGGCGCCACAATATTTTCGCCCGGGGTGTCAGTGGCCGTTACTACGTGTGGCGCACTGAATATATGTATGTAGTCATCAGTCTTTTCATTATTTTTCTTTGTTTCAAAAACACCTTCCTGGCTTCCATAAATATGCTTCTATGCTTCCCGGTCGAATTGAAATAAATTATCTAGACTTCGACTGTAGACTTAACATATTTTTACTAGGAGTAGGAATGGGGTGGTCTTTACTCAGTAAGAGTCTGACACTCCCTCCCGGCTCACACGGGGCAGAAGAATTCAATAAATAATGTCCCCCTCAAAAAAATAACGCTTTATCTACCAATGATATTCTTGAAATTTTACCTTTAAAAGACCATCATAACATCACGCCTTTTTTCCGAAGGGGTTGGCACATTACGGCACATAATGCCACTGTACATTGTAACACCTACTTTTCACTATTTATAAATGAGTCCCATGTAATAGGGGGTGAGTCTATTGTCATATACCGGGCACAATTCCAGACTCTGTGATACTACTGAGATTTTTTTAAATAATTATGTAATTGCTACCCCGACCCGGAATACAAACCATGGACACACGAAACACGTTTTGGGGATTAGGAGTTTGAGGATTGTTGGGAATTCGGGGATTGGGGAGATTGGGGAAGCACCCTTGCCCTGGGAGCTGGGCCTCCGGTAACCTCACTCACACGACGAAACACAAAACAAGCGTTGCTTCACGTCGGTTTTCTGCTCGGCCGTGGTATCACTCCGGTCGAGCCGGCCCATTCGTGCCGAAGCATGGCTCTCCCACACTTAAATAGAAGATAGATAAAAACTAACATCGGACATTTCAGGTTCACAATACCAACTTCGTTCACCACTCCAGCACGAACAACAACAACGACGTCAACAACAACGACGTCAACAACCACCTCAACCACTACCAGTTCAACCACAGAAGTATCATCCGAACCTGTTATAACCACAAGGAAATTTATACCTTACACCCTCTTGAGTACAACCTTTGAACCCGAACCTGTTGTAACTACAAGGAAATTTATACCTTACAACATGAGTACAACCTTTGAACCGATTGAGTACTACGATGAGGAACCAAGTGAGACAACAACGACCCAAACCGTCGAAAGCACGGCCCCATTTTTCGATTTTGAAAAGTTTTATCGAAGGTTGGAGAAGTCCGGGTACCATAGCATGGAGTCCAGTGACGGTTTTATTCAGAATGAGGTTTGTATTTATTTTTTAACTGGCTTCTGCCCGCGACTTCGTACGCGCAATCCCGTTTTCTCCCGTTCCCATGAGATTTCTGGATTTTTTTCTATCATAAAAACCTTCTCCTGACAATAACAAACACAACAAAAATAATCAGCCAAATCGGTCTAGCCATTCTCAAGTTACGGCGTGACGACGGGAAACGGGTTTCATTTATATAATATGTAGATATAGATTGAAGCGTTGCGTTGGCCCGTACTAGGGTTATCTCCTATGTCGCAGGTGCGTTTCTAAATTTCATATTCACATGATTGTACATACACACTGTCTCATGCAGTAATTCACCGAGGGAAGTGGAAACTATGGTTTTTTTTCTTCTCCTCTTATAATATCTTCTGATTCACTTTGTTGCGGGAACCAAGACAGTTACTCATGTCCCTGGGATGTTGGACTTCAGAGTTCCGGTGTTTTCATGGTTGTATCTACTGTAGATCCTGGCTAAACAGGAGTTGCAGCGGTATGGGAGGATGTGGCGGGCTTGTCCCTTTTAAAAAAATACCAACCTAGACCTGGAATAACAATCTGTGGATCGCACAAACAGTTGTTCTGGGCAGGAATCGCGATACACGTTGCGTGGCAGCCTTTTGCCCAGACTCTGCAAACAGTGCAGTCAAAACTATTAATATTGATTTTCATATTACTCTAATATTAATTATTTTGTTTTCGGCTTACTCGCGTAACTATTTGACGAGAAACAGTTTCCACTATCCGTGGCATCGGCGAACCCGAGTTCTCTCGCTTAGTAGTCGCACTGGCGATCATGGAAATCGCCTTTACTTACACAAATTTCAAAAAAATCAACATAACGAACACTTTACCTTAAACCTAATATTCTTCTAATGTCGTGGTGGCTCCGGGTTTAAGACGCCCGCTTCTCATGCATGAGGGTGCGGGCTCGAAACCTACCAACGGCAAGTACCAATGTGACTTGTTCCGAGTTATATGTACTTTCTAAGATTATCTAGACACCACTGACAAACGGTGAAGGAAAACATCGTGAGGAAACCTGGGCTTATAATTTCTAATAATAAGTTTAAAATAGCCAACCCGCATTGAGCAAGCTTGGTGATTAATGTGCAAACCTTCTTTGTGTGGGAACAGGTTTTTGGTCGGCAGTGACCACTTATAGGCAGTTGATGATGATGATCATGAATGAATTCTTCACAATAATTGGGTAGTTTCCAGGGTTTTTCAAAACTAAAAATCTAATTAGTCCGTCAGTTAGATAATGAAAAAATATTAGACACGTATTTTTTTATTTTCTCGTATTAACTTGCAATACTTAGATAAAATGGCGCTAAGTTTAGGAGTGTGAGGTCGTTACGTCATAACGTGCTACAAAATGTGGCACGCTGTGACGTCATACGATATTTCAAATTAACATATCGTCGAAAGTATTTAATTTGGTGAGAAAAGAAAAAATACGTGTCTAAAGTTTTAAATTAATGTACCAGACGGACATTGAAATAAAGTGTAAGAAACTACCCTATTGTAACCAAGATATTTCTATTACAGTACATCAAAATAAATGTCAACAACGATCAACAACCGCTGAACATAATACTCTCAAATGGCGTCAACATATCTTTTTCCATACAAATGTGTTACTACGTCTCAGATGACCCAGAAAAGCTCGGAACTATGAAGAAGAAGCCAGGAGCCTTTATATTTAGACCTATGGACTCCCAACCGATATTAATACTAGATCTCTACAACTCTAAGATCTTAAAATCCGATGTCGTCGAAGAGATCCAACTTCGTTTCGCAGATTACGCTGGGATCTCTTTAAAGTTGTATAGAGGATTGCCGACTATTGAGGTCGATTGGGTCGTTGGTCCGATTCCAATCGCCGATAACTTGGGTAAAGAAGTTTTTATTCGATATGTGACTGATTTGAACAATAATGGCGTTTTTTATACTGATAGTAATGGTAGACAGACTATGAAACGAATAAGGGACGCTAGACCTACCTTTTTGCCGACTATTGTTGATAGTTCTTCTGCTGTCGCTGGTGAGTATAATTTGCATAAGACTTTTGTTTTAAAACCAAAGATACAGATAAGTTAGATAACATAACATAACATCACGCCTTTTAACCCCGAAAGGGTACGCAGAGGGGCACGTTATGGCACTTAATGCCACTGTACAATGTAACAACCACTTTTCACTAATAAGTTACGAGTCCCATGTAATCTCCTAGTCTATCATTGGCTTAAAACTGTACTGCTACCTGGTCTCTGTCACAGTCCCTTAGTCGGGTATACGACACCCACGTGAAGAGTAGGGGTGGTGATAAATGTATTTTACTTTGTCGTTAACTTACACTTTATTTACTAGAACTAGCTACTGCCAAGTGGTAACGCTCGCTGCTCGGCTCCTATTGATCACAGCGTGATGTTTTATAACCTATAGCCTTTCTCGATCAATGGGCTATCCAACACAGAATTTTTTATCAATTCGAACCAGCAGTTCTGGAGAAAAACAAGTCCAATATTAAATTAGATTAGTAGAATTCATTTGTGTCAGCTTGGAGTTGTCATGCTCATTCAAAGGTCTCATTGACGGTGGCGCGTGCAGTGGATCGCTCGATTCCCTACAATATGGTTGAGTAGGGCGGTGCTGGTGTACGTGTCATGTTCGTGAACGGGCGCCGTCAACTGGGACTGGTCAGCTCCAGACTGTATTATTGTCCTTAAGGTTATTTTCTTTTTTGATCACTTTGACTGGATTTTCGTGTTACATTGTTCTCGCACAATCCAAACAGCAAAACTATGTAACTAGTAAATTGTATTGTGAACCTGATTGAAAAAGAGTAACCTATGGAGTTTCTTGCTCGTTCTTCTACATAGGAATCTACACCTTGGAATGAGCAAATAGCTTCACTTTTAAATTATTATTTTTTTGTTGACGTTTAAAAGTGCCAATCTGGCCTAATTGAAATAAATGATTTTGACTTTGAGTTTGACCAAAAAACAACAAACGCTTCCACCCTTCTCACGAAAATAAGACCCTCCCTTTCTGAAGACAGTTAACAAATCAATAATTACTTTGTTTCCAGGCAACATCTATCCAGTCACCTCAAAAATATACATCGAAGACAAAACGAAAAACATCAGAATGTCAATTTTTACCGACAGATGTCAGGGCGGTACATCGTTGATCGATGGACACATTGACATATTCCTTCATAGACGTATCTTTACCGATGACATTGGCGTCAATACTTATTTAAACGAATCTGTGCTTGGACATGGCAGTATTGTGAGGGGGAAACAACATTTTTATCTATCTAAAGCTGATTTCAGACCAAACAAGGTGTTCGAGAAGAAATTCGCAAAAGAATTGGAGTTAGCACCCAAAGTCTTCACGTCAATTCACCAGTCTTACTTCAACATCAGTCTTGCGAACTGGAATGAGAACATCAATGAATATACCGCTTTGAATTTGAAATTACCAGTTGGCGTCCACATTTTAACTTTGGAAAAATGGCACGACAAATATTTATTGAGGTTAGAAAATTATTTAGAACAGGCTGATGTTGCTCGCAATGGTTTTAAAAAGGTATTTATTAAGGAGTTGTTTAAAGACTTCATTATAACTGAAGCCAAAGAAACTTTGCTAGCGGGTAATATATGGTTAGATGATTACTACCCAATGCGCTGGCACAAAGATAGATTCGTCAAAAATTTTAATGAAATTTATGGGAATTTCAGCCATTTTGAATTTGCCAAAGATGAGGAGGTGGAATTGAATCGACAGAAGATAAATTTGGATGAAGGTATCAGTTTGATGCCGCAACAGATTAGGACTTTCGTTGTTAGTTATGTTCGGAGGTAAAGAAGGAGGTAGAAGTAGGATATGACCTTCAAACTCTTTAGAAGTAGGCACAGCTTGGCAAAAAATAGTGTTATGCAGTGATAGCTGAAACGTGCTGTATCGTAGACCGCATCATCGCTTACCATCAGGCGAGATAGTGGTCTGCTCATCTTATCTTATACTCTTGTACACCTTACACCAACACACCTCCGAACACAGTCACACACCATTCTTTCACAAACAGTGTCAGTTTTAATTATTGTTTATCTGTTTATTTCTCGTTTATAGTTATTCTGGTTTTGTTTATACTTTTGTCTAGCTTTGCATTTACTCGTATTATATGTAAGTCATTATTAATTGTCAAGTCTCACGTGGTACTATCATTCCATGTATATTGAGAGACCTGGCTCTTGTGATACAGGGATACCTAGTACAAGAGCCAGGGCTTCACTGTGTTAATTCTATGAAGTGCTAATAAACGTTTATTACTATTATTGTATGTCTTTACCATTCACGGGACCACAGGGTCCCGGTCATTTTGGGAGGCTTACGAGGGGCCGAAGCCAACTTTAATATAAATGTAATGGAAACACAAACCGGCGACTATCCCTGTATGCACTATGGAAATGCACCCAAGGACAGTCCCCGGTTATGTAGAACTATTATGGATAATGGAAAAAAAAGGTAGGGCTATGGATGGGTTGCTGTGGACTGGTAAATGGGGAACTATGGATGACTATGGCACCTGCCGAAACAATGTAATTACTACACGTAAAAATGGCAGGCGGAGACTCGCCAACTCACCGACCGGGCCCCGGGAATGGTTGCTAGATATAGCAACCATTCCCGGGGCAACAAGAATGGGAGTGGCTGAAGGGTTAAGAAACTACCACCGCTTTCTACTCAGATCATCTGCTCCAGCCGAAGCCTCCTGCATCCCTGGCCCACACGCGACTTACGTATAGTTTCTTACCCTCCGAGCAGGATCACTGCTCTCGCGACTCCACTCTGGACGGCCAATGAAGGCAAGCCAGAGGTGGGAGACCTGTTCCTTGTCATCGTTCACTCCAGCCAGCCAATTAAGGCAAGCCGGAGAAGAAGGAACGGTGACTTTTCCCTGGAGCACTCGGGATGATGGTAGCCCGCGGGATCACTAATGCCCGTCACCTCGCCTCAAGGTGCCCTGCGGGCTTATTATTATTACTATTACATAAAGCGGAAGAGTGTGTTTGTTTGTTTGAACGCGCTAATCTCGGTAACTACAAGTCTGATTTGAATAATTCTTTTTGTGTTGGATAGCGCATTTATCGAAGATGGCTATAGGCTATAAAACATCACACTACGACCAATACGAGCTGAGCAGAGCGTGTGAAACCGCGCGGAAGTAGCTAGTGTAATATAAAAAAATCATACTGAGGCCTCAGAAGGCTGGCAACGTATTTATATCTCCTTTAACTCATCGAGTACCGGTTTTGTAGACACAATTATAGAACAATAGGTTGCGGTTACCGGTGACCGCTTGGTGTTTGACAGTTTAATATTGTGGATGTTAATTGTTCAATGTCGTAGATGCTCGACTGCCAGCGTACAGCCCAGTATTAGGTGTAAGTATTGACATAGCATATTATGAAGTTTTATTTAAATAAATGTATATCCTATAACAGTATGTTACGTTTTTTATTTTCAAACTTTAGTAAAGTCTCCTGGGTCGTGTGTATGTATATAAACACCTTCATATAGACATAATATAAGTGTGGGAGAGTCATGCTTCGGCACGAATGGGCCGGCTCGACCGGAGTGATACCACGGCCGAGCAGAAAACCGACGAAGCAACGCTTGTGTTGAGTTTCGTCGTGTGAGTGAGGTTAGCGGAGGCCTTTTTTTTAAACACGTTGCCTCACACTAGGATTTTCTCCTGTGTCGTGGGTGCTTTTACAAACATACAAGTTCACATACACATGACACCCAGACCCAAAACAACAACTTGTGGATCACACAAAGTGTTGTTTCGTGCGGGAATCGAACCCGCGACACGTTGCACGGCAGCCGGTTGCCCAGCCACTGCACCAACCGTGCAGTCGATTTACCCCCTCCCTTCCCCAATCTCTCTAATCCCTGAATCCCCAACAATCCTCAAACTCCTAATCCCCAAAAGGCCGATAACGCTCTTGTAACGCATTTATGGGCGACGCTGATTCTTTACCATCAGGTGATCCGTCTGCTCGTTTACCAGCTTGTACCATAAAAAACACATCACACACAGTGGGCGCTTACTCTTGAATCAAATTCCGATCGATCGACGTTGATATTGTGTCGTACTCTTGAGTTGCAACACTAGCGCCCATTGCATCCGTATTGCGCGGGTATTGAATGAAGTAAACGGTATTGAGTTTGTCTTTATATTCCGTACTCTAAATGCTATTGTAACAGCTACGATTGTGGTTGTATAGTGTTGACATTGAATCATTATTGAGATTTTATTGGATTGAAATTGAATTTACATTGAGATTGGTTTCAAGAATAAACGCCCCTGGTTTCACAGTTTGTGGACCACATAGGGAATTATTATTGTGTAAGAATCGAACTTACAACATACAGTAAAATTACGTAACATAACATCATTTATCCCCGAAGGGGTAGACAGGTGCACTTAATGCCACTATACAATGTAACATCCACTTTTCACTATTTATGTTATGAGTCCCATGTAATAGGTGAACCTATTGCCATATACCAGGCACAATATCAGACGCCGTGTTACTACTGAGATTTTTTTTAATCCAGTAATACTTTACCCGACCCGGGAATCGAACCCGAGGCCCGAGACAGGCAGTCGCACTTGCAACCACTCTGCCAACGAGGCAGGAGATTTATAGTAAAATTAAAGAGAGACATGACAGTATCGGTTTACGCGTAAAATAAAACGAATTAATTTTTTAAAAAATCATACAATTTATTTGGTTTTTCATTCTCTTTTTCTATGTAACATTTGATTATAAACAATAATACATTTAATAGTATCTATCTATAAACATAATTAGAATTATTTCGAAAATCTTACTATAAAACGTAGACAAAGCACACATACATCGAGAAATCTATATAGGTTTTGTCCCGCGGCAAAACAACTTTATTTTTTTAAGTGGGGAAAATCATCGAATGACTGCTCCCACCTGGGTGAGGCGGGAGGGAGTGTCAGACTCTTACTGACTAAAAACCACCCCGTTCCTTCTCGTGCACGTCGAGCCGGAGCCCCGGTTACCCGTTAGGTTCTCCGCGACTGCGGCGAAATAACTTGTCATAAGGAGTCCTTTCGATGTATAAAGTAAAAACAAAAGAATAAATAAGTCATTTTTTTAGTTTACAAAAAATCTTCATAGAAATACGCACATGAAACACTAGACGTAAATTTGTAGGCACTATTCGCATCGCACGTGCCACCAGACGAGAAATACCCCTTCGAGAATTACACGGCGTGATGTTTTGACAATGTACTATGAGTTCGTGCGCTTTCGAAATTTTCTTTATGCAATGGTTCACCAGTTATTTTTTGTTTTAAACATTTCATTTGTTTTCCACCCACCATTAGAACCATTTCACTTCGGGACGAAAACGATATAGATTTCTCGGTGTACAATGTAACACCTACTTTTCACTATTTATGTTATGAGTCCCATGTAATGGGGGGTGAATATTCCCAAACACCAAAGACTAGACTCCGAGCTATAACTGAATCTTTCGAGGACGCAAAAGTCAAACTCTTCTGCCCGATCGAATCTAGATACCTCGTTGAATAGTCCTAGTTCTGACTACTTGAACAACGAAGTAGTCAAAATTATTTTAAAATGAATAAGGAGTTTATTTATTGAAAATTAAAGACATTGATTACGTACAAAATGAAAAATTACAATCTTTTATATTTTTATAAGACGGAGTAACTGATTCCACCCTTTAAAAAAGGCAACAGCGCCCTCTAACGTGAGTAAAAACGTTAATCGTCATTCTAGCATACAATAAGGTGAAAATTCAACTGTCTGTATTAATTATTAAAAGGCGACATCTAACGTTTATTTGCAAAATACCAAAACATCTATATTTAAACGGTTTTATTTAGCGTACCCCATATCTATATTTTTGTCTTTAGTAATGGGGATGATGACAGGGTCTCCATAGGAGAGACCTTCGGGCGACTGATTAGGGGAGTCAGTCGTCCGCTGTATGGGCGGGAGTAGGCGTTAGTGGTGTGTTCACGCGCGCCACTCGAGGAAGAAAATCGCAGCTTTTTAGGGCTGCTACGTGGTGGGACCTACCACAATGTAGTGGTAGGTCGAGGCCTGCCGGGTGCGGTGAATCCGCAAGGGCGTCCCGGGTCACGGCCACAGGCAGAGGAGGAACACCGCGGTGGTTTTAGCCGGTAAGAGTCCGGCACACCCCCTTGTCGTCCCCACGGCGTGGGAAGTTCATGAGGATTTCCATCGCGTTATAAAAAAAAAAAGGATGATGACAGGGTATGAAAATTAAAAACCTAATTAGTCCGTCAGTTAGGTAATGAAACAATATTAGACACGTATTTTTTTATTTTGTCGTATAATAAAACAATACTTAGATAAAACGAATCAAGGTTTAGGAGTGGGGGCTAAATAGTCATTTCTACGTATAAAATGTACATAGAAGTGAGGTCACGCGACATTTCAAATCAATATATCGTCGAAAGTATTCGTTTCTATAAGAAAAAAAAAATACGTGTGTACTGATTTAAAATAATCTACCAGACAGACATTAAAATAAAAATTAGGCATCTAACCTATTGTAATTCCACCCCCTTCCTGACGACAGATCGATCTGATATTTGGTACACACTCTTAAACTTGATGGCCATACAATATAATCGAATGTTCTACAACTACCTCCATTATGGATATCAAACGAAAGGGCTTGATTGGTAGAATAGAGCGCATTGGAATCGTTTAACATTAAACATATTTTTATTAGTTTTTCATACAACTGTTGTAACTTCATACTGACCTACCACGCTCCTATTAGTGGCTTTTACTTGAGTCGAATGCTCCCTAATCTCAAAATCAGCTAAAAACGTCTTTATTTCTTTGCCTTTTACAGTAACAGTTAAATCATTTGATTTCGCACCTTTAACTGATTCAGTCTTAGCACTTTGCATATTCCACGTCCATTTTTTATAACCGTTCACTGGCCTGTGAACAGCTAAAAGCATCTCTTCAATCTTTAAAATCTTAATATTCTTGAACAAATCTTGTAAATTAACTTGGACTGATGCGTTTTTGTCCTCAACGTAATTTTCTAATCGAATCAAAAGTTTCGAATCCCATGGCTCTAAGGTCAAAAGATGTACGCCTTTAGGCAAATCTCTTTCGAGCCACGAGAATTCGTTGTGCATCGCGAGCCAATCGTCATATTTTATATTTGTCGCATCAGCGAATAGTAGAATAGGAGGTTGGTGCATTTCTACAACTTGCTTTTTGAGATTATCTTTACTTGTACCGATGTAAACCCTATGCTTTCCCCTAACAACGAGCCCCTTATCTTTCGCAGTCTCATTCAAAGCTTCCCCTACACCAAAAGCATCGTCACATAGCAACCTTCTATGTAACATTAACTCAACTTCACCATCAACCATGGAACTGCCACCTTGCGATCTATCCGTTAAGACGGACATCCTAAAATCTTTACTATTTTTTATATATATCTGATTGGTGACTGGATAATAATTGCCAGGCACCGGCTCCTGTAGACTAACATTCCATTGCGGGCGAAAATCTCTGCATCGTTCGAGAATCTGTCTGCCATTCGAGTCTGTATAAAATTTCCCCTTATTAGCTATGTGCGTTTCATATTTAACTATATATTCTTTGCCTGTATCATCTAGAATAGGTATAGGTCCTACAACCCATTCGACTTCTAGATAATTATGGTCATCATAGAATTTAACGTCAAGATAACCAGCGGGATTTAGATCAATGCGAATTTCTTGGACAATGTCTCCTTTTATGATGTCAGTGTTAAGTGGTTCCAATTTTACAGGAGAATTTGAAGATGGTCTAAATATATAGGCCCCCGATGCCCTGTGAGCACTGTCGTGGTTGTCACCACAAGTTCCGGTATAGTAATACATGTTTATAGAAAAGTTGGTACTAGAATGATCTGGGAATATAATCTTCTTGATGTTTCCAGTTGCTTTGTTCACTTCTAATTTGAAGTGCTGTGAAAAGGTTTAGAAATAGGTTAGTCTTTGAGTTTTTAGCTGTTTTTTTTTTATGGCATAAGCTGGTAAACGAGGACACGAATGACCTGACGGTAAGCAATCGGCGTCGCTAATGGACACCTGGAACACCAGAGGCGACAAGTGCGTTACCGGCCTTTTGGGGATTAAGAGTTTAAGGACCGTTGGGGATTCAGGGATTGGGGGGATTGGGGAAGGGGAGGGTAATTGGACCTCTGGTAACCTCACTCACACGATGAAACACAACGCAAGCGTTGCTTCACGTCGGTTTTCTATATCTAAACACACTTGCGTTGTGTTTCATCGTGTGAATGAGGTTACCGGATCCCCGAATCCTCCACAATCGTCAAATTCCCAATTCCCAAAAGGCCGGTAACGCACTTGTAACGCCTTGGTGTTTCAGATGTCCATGGGCGACGCCGATTGCTTACCATCAGGTGATCCGTCTGCTCGTTTACCGACGTATCCCATAAAAAATGTGTATTACATGTTCTTACCTGATTGCCAATAATTATTTCCTCTTCGTCCTTAACAGCGCGATTTGGATCATCAGCCAACATCCTCAATTCATCCATATTGAACATACTTGGATAATTGAACGGTTTCGGATCGTTATTGCCTTTGTTATCTATTTTCTTATTATTTCCATGATCCAAAATCTTCTCCAAATCAAGTAGTTTTTGATTATCATTGTCATTCGGTCCGTCTTTTAAAACATCTAGATTCGGTTCGGTTTTACCTTTATCCGTTTTCTTTCTATCATCAGAAGGCGTTTTTTCATAATCAGGTATTCTTTCGTAATTATTTTGTAGCCTTTCTTTTAACACTTCGAAGTTAGCGTCGTTGCTACCTTTATCAATTTTCTTACTATTGTCAGCTGTTAGTTTTTCAAGATCAAGCATTTTTTTGTTGTTTTCACGTAATCCATCTTTCAGACTATAGTAGTTAGGTACATTGGTGACTTTGCTATCTGTTTTTTGTCGATCATCGACTGAGATCTTTTCATAATCGAACATTTTCCTGGTATCACTAGACCCGTCTTTTAAGATATCGTAATTTGGTTCTTTATTATCAATTTTCTTAGTATTTTCTACCAAAATTCTTTCTAGTTCAAACATTTTTTGATCGTGTTCACTTACCCTAGGTTTCAAAGCATCGACGTTAGCCTCATTATTATTATTCTTAACTTTCTGTCTATTAGCTACTAGAATCTTTTCGAAATCAATATTTTTTTGATCGCTATCATGTGATATGTCTTTATTTTCATTATCATTGGGAATTTTATATATTTTCTTTCTATTGTCTAAAATCTTTTCGAGATCTAACATTTTCTGTTCAGGATTCGGATCATTAGGATTGCCCTTCAAGATATCAAAATTGATATCTTTATCGTATATATTTGGTATCTCTTCTAAATAAATAGGGGGCTCTGCAATCGATTCAGTAGTTAGATATCTCTCATAATCAGTTTTAGATAGTTCATTGTTCCAAATATTATTGTTTATATTTGAATAGAAGTCGTATTCCGATTTGAAACTACGTTTTGTTCGGGAATGCTTTTTGATATAGAATGTTTTATATGATAGTGGTTTTAATTCTGTCAAAAATACAATTTCTTGTGTCGCCCTTGAAACACGTGTTGGGATGTTTTTAACTGTCGCTGACAACGGTACCATTTGTGTTTTTACTATTGTGCCTGTAAAATAGTGAATAGTTAATATAAAAATAAATAAATGTTTTTTCTTCCTTATTGTGGATG